TTAGGTCTCTTTGACACTGATAAATAGGTTGTTTTAGGTTCATTATTATTTGGATGTTTTTAAGTATTAATTTGAGAGATTAATAATTCTCCTTCATTGTTCTTCAATAACTCTTCGGGATATTTTACGAGTGAATTCTTGTGAACTATTCTTAGAGATATAGTATTGGTTTCTGATTCATAATAATCACGGGGTCAATACTTTCACATTGATAATATTGGTTTCTAGCTCTCTATAGCTACGGAGTCAATATTCCGAATTCCGCCAATTGAATCCTTTCTTTGGACGTTCCGTTCTTGCTTCCGCATAAGATTATTGGGTCCTGTAACAAATTCTACGGGGTTCGTATCATTAATAAAAGATGTTTCGGATTTATCTTAAAAATAAAAAATAAAATTGGGCCTAATATAATCACCCTTGTGTAATGGGAAGTTTTGTCAAATTTTCTCATTAAATATACTACATCAAATAAACAATCTAATAAAACACATAACGTAGAAAGAAATTGCAATTATTGACATATCTAAGTTAATGAAAACACACACATGGCAATTGACACTAGTAGAAAATGACTTTTTACTACAATTTTTTCGCTACGGTAAAAAATCGTAACAAAAGGTACCTTTTACTTTATGACAATCTTGGAGTCGTAGTAAAATGCTAAGATTAACCGTAGCAAAAAAATATTTGTTACGGCCATTTACCGTAATAAAGCTTTTGTCACGCCCCTATCTACTACGGGGCAAATTCGTAAAAAATGCGTAGCAAAAGACTTTTTGCAACGAATTTGGTAAATTTTACTAAAAAAAAAAAAATTTCTAGTATGAATAGAGTACAAAACAAATACATAATTTGATCACATATATGGCATAAAAATGTATTGACAAAGAAGATTGCATAATTTATGAGTTTACGAGTTGTTGGTCGTCCGTCATTTTTTTATTTTATGGACTCAAAATTACGTTAAATGTCAAGAATAGGAATGACTTACAAATACCATATTTTCTGCCATAAGATGTTCACTTTATTAACATGCACGCACTCCTACGCATACTAAAACACACATTCAATACATCAACTTCAGATCGTTTTCTACATTTATTTTCTCTGTTATTATTTTACTTTTTCTTGAATTATTTCTCCAACTAACTTGAGCGGGGCTCAAGCTCCGGGATTTTTGGTTAACGATGATCAAGATAGGGAAATGTATTCGAGAAGAACCAATTTTGATGGATGTTAAATCGACCTCCATCAGATACCTTTGGACATACACCAACTATCGAGGCGAGAATGTAGTCAAACTATCAAAATTTATAACGATTTCAAAGATTATATAATGTAAAACTGCAAAATTGTAAAATAAAAATTATCATAGAATATTTATGAAAACTACAAAAGGTTTATATGATTGACATCTTCGAAAAAGGTGTAAAACAATAATAACGTATTTGTTATAAATGTATATAAAAACTAAAATTAAAAAATATCATTTATGAACAGTGTCAAATAATCTTCAGGTTAAAACATTTGTTTAAACTATGAATTTCGGACAAAGTATGTTTTTCTACTGACTAAAGGTAGTCTATCCTTAAATCCTTTTTCGTACGAGTTAATTAGTTCGATCTTGATTTCTAAATTGCAGCGTTGTATCAAATGAAATTTTGTTTCACCCATGTCCTTAATTATACTAGAACGTTTGTTGGTTCTGTATATGTAGGGGATAGAATAGAAGCCCCATATTGACTAATAAGGTTATAAAACCAAGCATCATCAATCATCAAACAATTAAAAAAAAAATCGGGCTTCATTGTATGGATTAATCGAACGTATCTAGTTCTAGAATGAGGAAGCCAGCTTAATTAGCTAAATACATAATTAGTTGGACTTGAATATCTGGATGGCATCATCTATGGCAGCTGCATTATTCTTCAACACCTTCCACTGACCAATAGTTAAGCTTATTCCTGCATGCCAATCAAGCTTTCTCAAATACTCCATCGACTAACTAATAACTTCATTAGTGAATAATTATTGTTTTAATAAATCAAAATCTCCAACCAACAAATCTCATTCTATGGACATGCAGCTAATAATTTTTTGATCTAAACTAAATTCATTAGTGAAACAAAGTCATTTTTCCTTTGTAATAATTATTTAGCAAATACTATATTAATACCAATGTACGTACCACCTCTTCCACATTAATTCAAAATATTAACACATGCAGCTAATAATTTAATAAAGAAAAGAACAAAACGAGCATACAAATTTAGAGAAAAATTGTGAGTTCAAAAGCGGTGACAAATATTAGGATCGATTCCCCATATTGGCAACATAAACGATTATTTGACCTAGATCGTATACTTATAAATATGATGCATGCTACAACAATAATATAAAGAAAGAACTCAACGAGAGAGGAGAAAAAGAAAAGGGCCATAATACTATATGTTTTAGACTAATAATAATAAAGTCCAAGCAATTTAATTAAAAAGAGTTTGCACTGCATAAATTAAATGTATTAGATAAATTTATAAATGGGATGCAAATTAGATAAACATATAGAGTATTAAATATACCTTTGGCAGAAGGAAATTCTTTGTCGCCTTTGGTGTAGTATTCTCTGACTGATACCAAAGTCGTCCCATTGTGTTCTGCTAACGTCACCCTTCTTGTAGATGATAGCTGAACACCATGTAAACAGATGTCAGCTACTAATCACATATATACATATAATAATCCAAATTAATAGATGATAAAAGAAAAAAGAAGAGAAAAGTGAAGAGGTCTGTCTTACGTGGCAAATAACGAGGTTACCCTGATCATCATATTCATACTCTTCGGCTGCGCCATCTTTTTTCGCTAACTTTTTACCATCGCCGCCTCTCTCCATTTTTCACTTGGTTTAGGGTTTATGTGGATGTGGAATGCGAGTAGACGAGTCGACGACCACTAATATATAATAGGGGTAAAATTCATTTTGCACCCCGGGACTAGGATAAATGTATCGTTTACCCCGCTGAGGTGCTGCACAATCTAAAGAACCGCATACCTCCCGTCTTTATCTTCTACACAGCGACTGAAGCTCATTACCAAACTTATGAAGTTGGTAAGATGGATGACACTCATGCTAAGTGCTATATGATAGCCGCCATGAAGCCCGCCCTTGCGAGGAAATTGAGTCTCACATGCATGCTTA